CTGACCCCCATGCCACTCAACAAGCTCACAAGGCCAGAAGGTTGGGCCCCACTGAACCCAACATCTGGAACAGACACAAGGGAAATGAAAGGTCATTATTATTATTGATAATTTCCATAGCACTTAGGACCCCAGTGTGCTGGTCTCTACCCCCAAAGTTGGCATCATTTCTCTTTACTTCAAATACAGAGTTCCAGTCACTGGGGTTCCATTCAGCCCACTGTCAATCAAAAAGTGAGGTTGCAGCAGCAATTTATAAAAAAACTAGCTTCTAAAAACCATGCTTTAATACCAGCTCCTCAAACACTAAAGACATCCAGGCAGAGGCAACCCAAGCAGGGTGTGGGGCCCCACCCCCGCTCTGATCCCACAGGCTCCAGACCAGAAGAAGCTGCTGCCACCACTCTGCCCAGCTCCATGCCGTTGCTGCTCCACCCAGCTCCATGGGGCCCTGCAAAGTGCAGGGCCAAGAGCAGCTGCCTTGATTTCCTGCCCCCACCCCAGGGACAGCCCTGCATCCAGGTACATATCAGAGTTATAGTCTTGTGGCACTGCAGAAACTTGGTACATGAAGCCTTCTTTGCAAGCTTCCCTGTCTTTACAGATTTCATTGAAATTGAGACATGTATATGTGCAGCAAACTTTGCACAACTATCCTGAACACAAAGAATTCCTAGATCATTCTAAATGTTAGTGCACTCTGAGTAACTCTGTAAGGGTTATTTGAAAGGTAGGAATTCTTGTGGGCGATATTTTTTTTTATTGCACTAACTGCATGTTTGGGATAGATGTAGGCAAGTTTTCAGGTATCACAGTATCCTTCCTCAGATCTCTGGGAGAGAAATAAACACAGCAGAGTGAAGTAGCTGATGAAACAAAAGCTTGTGTAAACAAGTAATGTGTGCCTTTTTTCCAAATGCTTTTTTTTTTTTAGGTAACACTAGGTGCATCTACACATGACATTAATGCACATGAATAAACTCTGGTGCATATTGCACCAAAGTTTATTGCTCCCAGGCACTGTATCTTCACATGCGTCTTCACATGAAGACATGTTCACATCTCCAGGGTTGGAGCAGCCCTGGCTGGCAAAGGGTCCAGGGGGTCAGGCTGCCAGCCTAGGGCTGCTTCAACCCAGCTCGACATGCTGCAGAAGGCCTGGCTGGGGCATGAGAGTGCTCTGGTGTGGGGCTAGCTGGCAGGCAGCCCTTGCACTGAAGCACCCTTGTGCCCCAGCCAGCCCATCAGCATCTACATGTGAATTTCTGCACAGTAAAGAACTCTGCCACAGCATAGTACCTGTATTTACAAGTACTAACCTGCAGCAGAGTTGGTTAGTTTCCTGTGACCTAACAGGGCCACATGTTTAGACACTGAGACTTTGCTGCAGAGCTAATTATGAAATAATTATTATTATGAAATATTCTATGAAACTATGAATTAGGCAGCTCTGCAGTAAACATCTTGTGTAGATGCACCCACTGTGTTTTAATTGGCTGATGTGGATCTATAACTGGATTCATAATGTGACAATAACTTTTTGGGGGATTAAGTAAGCCCTTATTTCCTTCCTCCTCCCCTTTCCTCTTCTACCACACACATCACAGCCCTGTGTTAGGAAGTAGCCAGTAATGCTACTGTGCAAACTGTAAGTGCCAATTGACCAACTGACTATTTGCAGGTATGTCTGCTACAGAGCAAAGAATAATGCTTTCTCTGCCCCTGACAATCCTGCAACAGCTAACTTAACTCCTATTTTGACTGAGGCACCAGGCCTTGCAATGGACCCAGATGCCAGCTGTGCCCCCTCATCAATACAGACCATATCACCTTTGGACCAAATAACACTGATAATAACATCTGAAGTTAATTCACCTGCACCTCTGCAAACATCATCACCTGTTTACAGTGTCACCTCCTTGCTGTCTATATTGGACAGATGATATCAGTTCCTAAAAGACATACAAACCTGTGGCAGGCCACTTTATAGATTTCATCAATTGCATAGTGTCAGAAAAACAATATAACCCGTAAAGAAACAGATGACCCCTTGCTGAACAGAAGATCTAATGCTAAACTTTTGCTAACCTTTCCCTAAGCTTAAAAAAAACCTTTTGCTGACAGTAAGCAAAACCATGAATCTTTTGCTGACAAGGTTAATCACAGAACTAGTTCCAAACAGCCTAACACTGTTCTATGTGTCCTGCAACTTTGTAGCAGCAGACAAAAGACCTTGAATGCGTCTGCAGCTATGTAACAGTTAATGTATAAATATCAAGCTGTAAACTCAGGTCAGGGGGCTCTTTTGTTTTTGGACATGGAGCACCCCTCTGCAGAGTAATAAATCATCTTGCCGACACCCCCTCGTTCTCAGCCTAATTGATCGTGGCTAGGAATGAGCCCAAAGACGGGAGGAGGCCAGTGTTCCTCAGTATATAAACACACCCTTCGGTGTATGGGTGCTACACAGTAGCTGGCCTATTTCCCCAACAATAGACATTAGGGCTGGAAGGAACCTTGCAAGATCATCAGGTCTGGCCCCGTGCCCAAAAGTCAAGCAGTCAGCGGGGGTCAAATGATCCCAGCAAGACAGGCATCCAAGTGTTTCTTAAAGGAATCCAGAGTAGGTACCTGCACGACCTCTGAGGGGAGTTTATTCCAGGCCCTGGGGACTTGGACAATAAATAAGTCTTTCCTTATGTCCAGCCTAAAATGGTCTTCCAAGAGTTTGTGACCATTGGACCTACTCTTCCCATAGGGTGCTCTGGTGAGCAGTCATTCTCCCAGTTCCTGGTGCACACCTCTTATATACTTATTCACCCTTGAGCGTACACTTCTCCAGGCTGAAAAGTGCCATTTCTCTCAGCCTGTCCTCATAAGTCCTGACCTCTTGTCCTCTAATCATTCATGTGGCTTTCCTCTGAACTCCCTCAAGCTTCTCCACATCCTTTCTGAATTGTGGAGCCCATAACTGGACACAGTATTCCAGCTACGATCTCACCAAGGCACCTTGGACATTCCTAACCTCAGAGTAGCTGTTCTTAAACAACAAAACTTTAAAAATGAACTTGAATATGAAATTGTGGAACAAGAAATCATCCACAAACTGATTGTGTTAAATATGGTTTACCCATGGACTATGAAGTCTTATCCCATTACCTGGATTAATTTTTATGACCCCTTTGACCCTGTGGGTTTATTACTTGTTTGCCTTTCCCAGCACTGCTTTCTCCCACCTCTCCCCTCCCTTCCTGTCTCTTGTATTCAAAGCATTCTCGCTATTGGATAGACTGCTCTCTGCATATCCTTTCACAGCTCTAATGAAGTGAGCTTGAGCTCACTAAAGCTTGTGTAGCTCTGATTTTGTAAGTCTAAAAGGTACAGCTCTACCTTGACATCTGCTTAACTTCAGACTAACACAGCTAACAACCTCTCTCTGTACTGCAGATAACAGGGCAGCTTTGGGACCTAGTGGGTGCATCTACACAAGACACTTTACTTGAGATTAGCACAAATCACTGTGCAGTAAGCATCACTGTCTACATGTGCAGACACTTACTGTGCAGTAATTTGCTCTAATCGTGAGTAAATTTACTACCTATCAATACAAGTAGCAAATTTATTCATGACTAGTTGCTGCAAAGTATGGCATCTGTAGGTGGGTGACCAGGAGCAAACTTGCAGGCAGCTGGGCAGCAGGGGGCAGGAGATTGCTCCCTGCCCCCAGGAGCTGCCTGTTGCTGGGGCAGGCTCCACCACTGGAGCCTAGGTGGGGACTATTTTTTGTTTAAAAAGATACAAAAAATGAATATAGGGCTTGAGGGAGAAGATTGCACTAAACTACACACACACTATTAAAAATAAAACAAGTTGTTGGAAATATCCAAGTTTGTTTTTTGTTTTTAATTATAAGCAGTTTTTCTGGTTCTCATGTGTTTTCACTGCACAGCAGGCTTTTGCAAAGGGTAAAGTAACATTTTTATTAGTTTCCTTTCCAACAGAACATCTATTACTATCCATTGTGCATACAGTAAGTTAGAGTCTGGTTTGCATTTTATTTAAAATACTCTTGCACAAAGGCATTTTTTGTGATTGTACTAATTCTTCAGATGTTCCCAGACACTGCTGGCAAGAGCCTAAATACAGCTTTAACCACTGCTCCTTCCAATCAGTACTTCTGGAATTCAGTTTAAAATAAAGCTGTAGTGTAATGAGATATTTAAAGAGGCTTTCTTAAATTGGCCTAGTTCTATTTGCATTATGGGGACTATCACAGCCCTTCAGGATGGAGAATAATGGAGTACACACTGCAGAAGTATGTCCCCCTGCCATGGCAACAGGGAGCTCCCAGCCCCCACTCCCCACCTGCAATCACAGAGATGGGTCTGGAAACAAGTTCCCGGATTGGGTAATTGAGGCATGAGGCTTGGAAACAGCTGTGGGGGCAGGGCAGGTCTCAGCCCCAATCTGCTGGTGGGGAAGCTAGGAGTGAGCCCCTGGCTGGGTGGGGAATCCCTACCCAGCTGGGGGCTCACAGCTAGCTGCCCTACTGGCAGATGGGGTAAGGAGCTAGGACCTTCCCCTCCCCTGCAGCTCTTTCCAAGCCACTTGCACCTGATCAGGGAGCTGGGGCCAGGTGCTCCCTGCTGTCGGGGCAGGAGGACATTGTCCCCACCCAAGCTTTAATACCAGAGCCTACCCTGGCAGCAGGCAGCTCTCAGGGACAGGAAACAATCTCCCAACCCCTGCCAGGAGACAGCTGTCTCCCAGTCCCATGCTCCCTGTCAGCCCCTGGGCTAGCACCCAGGGGGAGCCTAGATCTCCCTTGGGCTGCTGCAGAAGGCCAGAGCAGGGCCAGAGGGAATGGGAGCAAACTGCTTCCAGAAGCAGCAAATCTGCTCCTGAATCTCTGCACGTGTGGATGTCTGCCCTGTGTGGATCTGCCCAGTGTGGATTTACTCTAGAGTAATTTACTCTAAAAAACTTATTTTCCATGTCAGAGAGTCAAATGCTTTGGATTTATATGATACAATTTGCCTTTATTATCAGCACTGCATTTGTAATAGACTGGCAGGAAAGTTGTGTCTGAGATGTAATAAATTTCTGGTATCTGGGCATATTATGTGTTTTGGAAGCATATAATTAATTGTAGTTTCCAGGGCAGAGGACCATAGCAGCTCTTTAAATTCTAATTTATATTAAAGTGAATAGAGTTAATTGCCTGTCCACAACAAACGAAAAAGAAATATATACCTTGGAAGCCAGCCACAGAGTCTCCAATCAATATAAATGTAATGTGCTTCTGTAGATCACTGAATGAAATTGCTTTTTAAAACTTTATGCATCATTCTAGGTATTCCTCTACAATACTGCTAGGAGTTAAGGTCATTTAAATATGACCACTCTAGAAGCTGAATCCTGTATAAATAAATATAGACCTGAAGTGTCCAAGGTGAAGGAAAACAAATGATTAGCATCACTGGTAATATTTTATTAAAAAGAGAGGTGCAGAGGATTATAATAAAGAAGTAAAGCTTCAAAACACACACACAAAAACCTTCCAGTCCTTCAACTTTACTCTTGCAATTAGGCTATTTCCCAGACTAGAGATTACTCACTTGAGTTTGGATTGGAACATCAGGCCCTGTCCAAGTTTACTAGCAACTTATTTCCATTATGCACTATGCCAGCATTCCACTTTTAAGACAGAACACTCTTAGCTTGGGTTCCAAACAGTCACAAGTGAATGGCCAGACACTTAGAGGTTCTAATAAACTCAACTCTTCGTCATGAGTGACTGGTGCTGCGTGAGACTGGGGGGGCACAGTTTGTGGGTGGCAGAGTCAGCGGTGGGGTGGCAAGCAGTGACCATTTGCAGAAGCCAGTGGTGGCAGGTGCGGCAGCAGTGGGGCACGTGGGGCACGTGCCCCCTGTGCCCTCCCTACCAGTTGCCTATGTTCCTTGTCTTGAAAAATCTCATGAGATCTGGCTTTTTTGGCCAGATTTCTGGAACTTTCTTAGTTGATTTGAAAATACCATGAACAAGAAGTTCTGTTTCAGTAATTCTGGTCTCAGTGAGCTCAGAAATAATTTAGGTGAATGAAGAAGAGAAAACGCACACTCTTCAAATAGATTTGGGTACTTTTTGGTTCAGATCAGAACTTATTTTTCTCAGAGATGATCTTATTTATCAAAAAAGACCTATGTATTGTTGAAAATTCATGCACCCTTCTGTATTTAAAGACTGTATTATGAGAAGCAGAGTTAAGCTTACATGAGCATATACATCAACTATTAGTATAAACTCATTGGGCTCACCAGGGATGGATCTAGACTAATGAGGTTCCTTGCAGGCTGGATCCAGCCAGTGTCATGATGCAGCTCCAACCTTGGGCTCCAACTTGAGGCAGGTGGTAGTGGTGGCTCCAGCTCCAGCTTTGGCCTGAGGCTCTCAGTTGCAGCAGTGGCTTTGGCTCTGTCTCTGGCCTGGGGCAGTGGCAATATGACAAGCACATGGATCAAGAGTCCATTTGCCAGGACAGTGTGGGTAGAGACGGGCAAAGCAGCTGTAGGGCGACCAGGGTTGCATCAGCCCTTAGTCACCCTCCTGCCACCAATGGCCACATCCACAGAAGCTCAGAGCCCTGAATTCTGCAGCAAGTCCCACCCCCAGCTTCCAGTTGCCTGGTAGGCTGGATAGAGCAGGTTCTGGACCTCAGGCTTGGTATTGACACTCCTGGGCTACAACTATGATTTCAATGTGGGATCACAAGATGTAACTGACTCTGGAGCCTAGTTCATGCGATGTTCAGACCCTCACATTCCATTTTTAGTGGACCTAAGGGACCGGTTCTTTTCTTGCATGTAGGTATACAACATGTAGGCAGGAATGATGTTCTAGTGCAGGGGTGGGCAATTATTTCAGGGAGAGAGCCGCTTACCCAGTTTTGGCAGGCTGTCAAGGGCCACATGGGCAGCCCCACCCCTTTACAGGTGCCCCACCCCCTGGTCAGCATCTTGGGACCGATGTCCCAATGTCTTGGGATCAATGTCCCAGGGCCAGCACCGGGGGGGCCCAAAGCAGGGTGCAGGCTGGCAGGGGTCTGTGAAGCTGGGCTGGGCTGCACCAGCAGGAAGGCGGGGAGCTGGCCCGGCTCCATAGAGCCCCTCCCAGCTGGGACCCTGTGCTCCTGCCACCCTGCTCTGGGCCCTGCTGGCACTGACCCTGGGGCACTGGTGCAGGCCCCGTGCTCCCACTTGTTACCTGCCCACTCACACCCAGTGCCCCCCAGCCCTGCAATGCAGGTGGGGGGCAGTGCACAGACCTGACCCCCTGTTTGCTGGCAGGGAAGAAGCTGGTGATGAGTGCAGGGAAAAGCAGCCCCTTGCCCACCCCATGGCCGGTGCTCCCTGCTGCAGGCACTTGCAGCCCATGCAGGGCTGTCTGGAGCAGGCACAGGCAGTCCCAGGTGGACTGTGAGTGGCTGCAGCGCAGAGCACCAGCCACACAGCGAGCGAGGAGCCGCTCTTCCCCACACTCAGCACCAGCTTGTAACCCAGCCCCGCTGCAGCCTGGCAGTGGGGCCAGGTTACAAGGTGGTGCTGAGCGCAAGGGTTGGGGGGGGAAAGCAGCCCCTCGCCCACTCCATGCCCAGTGCCCCACACTGCAGCTGCTCGCAGCCCGCCTAGGGCTACCTGTGCCTGCTCCGGACAGCCCTGTGTGGGCTGCGAGCACCTGCAGTAGGGAGCGCTGGCCGTGGGGCAGGCAAGGGGCTGCTTTTCTCCACAGACGGATGAAGCCCAGGTAAAAGCTGAGCACGTGGCTGCCCAGCACCAGAACTGCAGGTAAGTGCGGGGGGGAGAGGGGAGAGAGAAGGGGGGGGACCCTGGGCAGGGAAGGAGTGTGTGGGGGGGAAGCGGCCCTTTCCCCGCCCCATGGCTGGCACCTTGTGCAGCAGCCAACCCCTACCTATAAATTCCTAACTTTGGACAGGAACAAAGGGCAGAGAAATATTAATTTTCTACATATTTTTTAGGGGCCCTGCGGGCCGGATAGAATGGCCGCACAGGCAGTATTTTCCTCACCCCTGTTCTAGTGGCTAGGGCACTCCACTGGGATTCCAGATTAGATTAAGTTCCTCTTTCACAGAAACATAGGCAATGAGTCATAGAATCATAAAAGTTAGGGTTGGAAGGGACCTCCGAAGGTCATCTAGTTCAACCCCCTAGTCAAAGCAGGACCACCCACAACTAGATCTTCCCAGCCAAATTAATGAACATTAACCTTATAATGGAAGAGACCTTAAAGGCTATCTGGTCCAACCCCAAGCTATAATCTCCTCTGTGAGCCTCAGCAAGCTTATAGCCCACACTCTTCTTCCATTCCTCAACTGTACAATGGAGACCACACTTCCCTAACCCTCTGGTAGATTGGCCCAAGACCCATGCAAAAATGAATTAACTGCATATGACAGCTCATGATAGGACCACCCCATGTCATATCCTCCCATGGTAGCCGTGTTCCACTTGAACTCTGCCTCAAAGTAAGACTTGTGTACACAGTTCACAGAGCTATTGTAAAGTTAGTATTCATTCAAAACATTATAGTGCTCAGACTCTACTGTAATGAGGGCTAAATTAGTATCTAGACAGGTAGAGACCTACATGGCAAAAATTAAGTGTGTATGTGAGCCTATTCTTTGTCACGTGGCATTTCATTAGCTAAAATCTAATTTTATGCAGGTAACCATTTTGAATATATACCTCCACTGAGAGAAGAGAAGTAGGTCCAAAATCTCATCACAGTTATACCAGTGCGATTATTTTTAGTTAAATGGAATCACACAGATTAAACTAAGAAATTAGATCATCTAGTACATCACATCTGGTTGAAACTAAATATCTTCATTACTCAAAAGTCACTCTCTGATTATGGCATTGTTTTATATTCTTTTCTCCCAGCTAGTTATAATTCCTCTGACCTAATCTTTTGATTTCATCATTTGGTAATTGAATCCTTTCTGGTGACATGCTGCTTACTATAAAGGGAAATTATTCCTTTGTGCATGCTCAAGCTTGGTTAGGCAGAAAGGAATTTAAAAGAATAAATAAGGAGGGTGCACCTATGTGTGTCACTATGGTGACATTGTTACTGCGCCATGATTTAGTATATTCAAAAGGAAGTACTAAATCACAGTGCAGTAACATCCCGTACTGCCCCTTGCATGCTGCACATGGTTATTTTTAGCAGCTACTTTGCCAGAAGAGCACAGTATAATGGGGGAGCACTTCGCTACGGTGAAGTAGCTGCTGGTCACATGCATACCTCCGCAGATGCTACATCGCCATAGTGTTACTATGGCAATGTAACACCATGCATACGTGCGCCCAGAGAGATGTATTATGCATTTATTTTCTAGCTGATTTAAAAACTGCAAAAAAGAGCAGATGTGAGACTCAGCTGAATCCTCCTTGCCACCTGAAGGAAAGTGATATACTGTCATCTTTGATTATGTCAGTACCTTAGCTGTAGTAGTGTTGCAGTGTTGTTGTAGTCATGATGGCCCAGGGACTATGTGAAAACCATGTTCCAGTAAATCAGCTACAGCTCTGGTCATCACAGGAGCACTTTTGTATAGCAGAGGGAGGCTACATAGGTTCTGTGTCTGTGCAGTGCCTAACACATGGGGTTCTGGTATATGATGAGGCTTGTAGGAGCTCTGGTTATATAACTAATAATAACAGTAGTGCTTTATAAACAACAGAATGACAAAGAAGGAAGAATAATACAAATCTGTCTGAAACCATATAGAATCAGAACCAAACTTATGGTCCATGAGAGTTCTTTCAGTACAAAATAATGTAATATGATTCACCTTATTTGGCACTGTTCTGTTTTGTAATAGTGTCCTGACTTTCTGTGCATACTTTCTCAGGAGCTCATCAGGACAAATTTTGGTTGATATTTGACTCAACAAGGAAGACTGACAGTGCTCAAAATCTTCTTGACTCATTATTTGTCACCCTCAGATAAGTTCTGATAGGCCGGCACTTCTGATATGGCTGCTTCATATTTTTCTGATCCAAGACCTAGGATAAAACTCACTAGAGTAGTTAAGAGAAGCCAGGGTATCCTGAGGCAATCATGGCTGGTCTCAATTTGTAATAGCATCCTTTTGTGACATCCCATAAAAAGATGCAATCTGAATACCAGCTTTGTCTAAATCAGTATTGATTCCAACAGTTGTTCCATAAATATTTTTTATATGGTCTCCCACAACTTTCCTGAAAGCAAGATAAGGAAGTACAGGTTGAAAGAATGGATTGTAAGGTGGACATAAAACTGGGTGGATCATCAGGTTCAAATAATAGTAATCAATTATTCAATGTCTACTTGGTAGCTAGGATCAAGTGGAGTGCCCCAGAGATCTGGGACCAACTTTGTTCAACATCTTCATCAGCAATTCAAAAGATGGGATTGAGTACACCCTCAGCAAGTTTGTAGATGCCACCAAGCAATGGGGAATAATAGATAAGCTGGAGAGTAGGGCTAGTATTCAGAGTGACCAAGACAAATTGGAGAATTTCATGAAGTTCAAGAAGGACAAGCGCAAAGTACTGCACTTACAACGGAACAATCCCACACGCAGGTACAGACTAAGGACCAACAGGCTGAACAGCAGCTCTGCAGACAAGGACCTGGGGGTTACACTGCACAATAAGGCGAACATAAGCCAAAAGCATGCCCTTGTTGCTACGAAGGCTAACGGCATACTGGTCTACATTAGTAGAAGTGTTGCCAGCAGTTCAAGGGAAGTGATTATTCCCCTGTATTTGGCACTGGTGAGGCCACATCTGAAATATTGTGTCCAGTTTTGCTCCTCCCCCCTGCAGAAAGGATACAAACAAATTGGAGACAGTCCAGCAGAGGACAACAATGGGGAACTCCTTACTCGAGAGCACGGAGGCAGAAAGAGATCTTGGTGTCATTATTGACTCCAAGATGAACATGGGCCGACAATGCGAGGTCATCGTTGGCAGGGCTAACCGGACCTTGTCGTGCATCCACAGGTGCATCTCGAGTAGAGCCAAGGAGGTGATCCTCCCCCTCTACGCGACGCTGGTCAGGCCACAGCTGGAGTATTGTGTCCAGTTCTGTGCGCCCCATTTCAAGAGGGATGTGGACAACATGGAGAGGGTCCAGAGGAGGGCCACCCGCATGATCCGGGGACAACAGGGCAGACCCTACAGTGAGAGACTGCGGGACCTGAACCTATTCAGCCTCCACAAGAGAAGGCTGAGGGGGGACCTGGTGACCGTCTATAGACTCACTAGGGGGGACCAGAAGGGTTTGGGGGAGACGCTGTTTCCCCTAGCGCCCGCTGGCATAACAAGGAGTAATGGGCACAAGTTGATGGAGAGGAGGTATAGATTGGACATCCGCAAAAACTACTTCACAGTTAGGGCGGCTAGGAGCTGGAACCAACTTCCAAGGGAAGTGGTGCTGGCCCCTACCCTGGGGGTCTTTAAGAAGAGGCTGGATGCCTACCTGGCTGGACTCATTTGAGTCCCGTTTCTCTTTTTGGGGTTTTTTGTTGTTCTCCCGCCCTGGCGGGGGGTCGGGCTAGAAGATCTACTAGGTCCCTTCCGACCCTTAATCTATGAATCTATGAATCTATGAACAAAAATGGTTAGGGAGCTGGAGCACATGACTTCTGAGAAGAGGCTGAGGAAACTGGGCTTATTTAGTTTGGAGAAGAGAAGACTAAGGGAGGATTTAATTTAATAGATCTCATAGACTTCATGGACCTCGCAAGATCATCAGGTCCAGCACCACCTCTGGAGTCTATTCTAGGCCCTGGAGACTCTGACAATGAAGAAGTTTTTCCTTATGTCCAGCCTAAAACAGTCTTCCAAGAGTCTGTGACTGTTAGACCTAGTCTTCCCATGGAGTGCCCTGGTGAACAGACATTCTGCCAGTTCCTGGTGCACACCCCTTATATATTTATAGGCCACCACCAAGTCACCCCTGAGCCTACACTTTTCCAGGCTGAAGGGTCCCATGTCTCTCAGCCTCTCCTCATAAGGCCTGCTCTCTTGTCCTCTAATCATTTGCATGGCTCTCCTCTGAACTCTTTCGAGCTTCTTCACATCCTTTCTGAATTGCAGAGACCAGAACTGGAACAGTATTCCAGCTACAGTCTCACCAAGGCTGAATAAAGTGGGAGGATGACTTCCCAGGTCCTGTTTGAGATGCATTGGAAGATGCAGGCCAGAGTTTTGTTTGCTTTGCTGTCTGCGGCATCACATTGGTGGCTCATGTTCATCTTGTTGTCAGTCATGACCCCCAAGTCTCTTTTAGATGTGATGGTAGCTAGCGTAGCACTGCTGAGTCTATAAGTGTGGTATGGGTTCTTTCTCCCACAGTGGAGCACCTTACATTTCTCGGCATTGAATGCCATCAGGTTTTGATCCACCCACCTTGTAAGCCTGTCGAGATTGGCCTGGATTGCTAACCTATCCTCTAGGGTGAGTGCTTTTCCCCATAATTTGGTGTCATCAGCAAACTTAGCCAGCCTGCTTATAACACCTGAGTCCAGATCATTTATAAACGCATTGAAAAATACAGGTCTGAGAACAGAGCCCTGGGGGATACCACTGGTTACAGTGCACCAAGTCGATTCAGTTTCATGAACTATCACTCTCTGGGTCCGTCCACAGAGCCAGTTCCCCAGCCATCGAACCATGAAATTGTCTAGTCCACAGCTCCCCAATTTTTCCAAGAGGTTATCATGGAACACAAGTTCAGAGGCTTTCTTGAAGTCCAAAAATATGATATCCACCTCCTCTCCTTTATCCAGGTGATGTGGCACTTGGTCATAGAAGGAAATCAGGTTGGTCAGACAAGATTTACCCACCACAAAGCCATGTTGGCTATCTCTCAGAACATTACCTTCTGTTAAGATGTTGGTAATGGTTTCCTTGATGATTTTTTCCAAGAACTTTCCAGGGAATTAGGTTAAGCTAATTGGCCTGTAGTTCCATGGATCTTCCCTTCTCGCTTTCTTGAAGATAGGCACCACATTGGCCCTCTTCCAATCATCAGGCACCTCACCCGAGTGCCATGAGTTCTCGAATATCCTCACCATAGGCCATGCTATAATGTCAGCTAGTTCCTTTTAGCACTCTTGGGTGCATTCCATCCAGGCCAGCTGACTTGTGGATGTCGAGCCTCTTAAGCTGTTCCCTCACAGCCTTCAGCTACCTGAAGGGTGGTCACAAAGAGGATGGGCTATGCTAGACTTTGCTGGTTGCTCCTTCCCCACCACTTCCCCCCTTTTTCTGCTATATATGGGTATTTTTAAACCTTCCCAGAGGTTTTGGGTGTTGGCTCTAGGCAAGGCTGGAGACTTCAACTAGGATGTGCCAATTCTCCTTCCTGGCTAAGGAATCTTGCCCATCTGCTCCCAGTCAGACTGATCGCTATATTTGTCAGGAAGGAATTTTTACCTTTTATAATCAGATTGGTAAGGATTGTGGGGGTTTTGCCTTCCTCTGCAGCAGGGGGCATGGCCTACTACCTGGGATCTCTTGAGCATATATTGACAATATTTCATAGAAGGAGAATGTCAGGGTTGAGGGTAGTCTCATGTAGAGTTTAAATTATAGTTGTAGGGGCAGTTGGATAGGAATGATCCTACCTCAGGCAGGAGGTTGGACTAGATGACCTCTGGAGATCCCTTCCAGCCCTGCTTCTCTATGACTTTACAGAGTTAGATCATTCTCAGTGGTGGCAGATAACAGAACAAGGAGGAATGGTCTCAAGTTCCAGCAAGAGAAGTTTAGGTTACAGACTGGGACACTGGTGATGTGTAAGAGGTGCACACGGGTGCACATGCACGCCCTAAGCTTGGCTGTGCACCCCTGCAAAAATCACCACTGACACCACTGGCCGTGCCTGCAGGCGGCCACTGCTTGCCGCCACCCCCACTTTGCTGCCAACACTGCCGGTGGTGCCTGTGGATGGTTCCCGATCACCGCTGGCCACCGCTGATGCTGCAGGTGGCATCTGCAGGTGGTCACTGACCACCAATTTGTGCTCACCACCCCCACTGACAGCACCACTGCTGCCTGCGGGAGAACCACACACCACCGCCATGCTCCTGCTGCCGACAAAGCCACCGCCACCTGCGGGAGCTTATCCCTCCCACCCCAGGGCACATGGCGTTCATGGACTGGGAAAAACTCTCTCACTAGGAGGGTAGTAAAGCACTGGAACAAATTACCCAAAGAGGTTGCAGAATCTTCATCCTTAGAGGTTTTTAAGATCCAGGTAGACATAGCCTTGGCTGGGACAATATAGTTGGGGATGGTCCTTCTTTGAGCAGAGGGTTAGACTAAATGACCTCCTGAGGTTCCTTCCAACACTGATTTTCTATGATACCTGCTTATCAACCAAATATTCACATGCCAGACCAGCAGCACTGTTGACATGAGGTACATCTCTTCAGTTATCCTGTTTACCTTCCCACCATCAAAGCAGGGAAAGAATAGAATTAAGTACTATTTTTGCATCAAATCCTCTCTTTCCACTGGCTTACCCATGAAGATGGGTCAAATCTAGACAATTCTGATCTCTGTTTCAACAGCTTCTAATAGATTGGCTCAAAAACTAGGCATGGCTGCCCTAAATAAATCTACATGACAACTCACAATATGACCATTTATGACCCACTCATGGCAGCTGTGTTCCACTTGAACTCACCAGCACAGGGAAGAGTTGCCTAGACTAGCCAGAGGGCATAATTTTTTTGGTGTCTGGCCTAAGACTAAAACTCAATCTCAGGAGCAATTAGAACTCAGCAACTGTAGAATGAAATGGAAACTTAAGGCATAGTTAAGAGAGAAAGACAAAGAAAGCACTTTAAAGAGCAGGAATGCCACATTCACTCGGGTCCCCGGGTCACGTGATAAGACACCTCTGGTGGTGAAGTGAGCCGTGGTGCCAGGGCAAGTAACTTTAGGAAACCATGAAGTTTAATGCAGCCATCTCTCACCCCACCACCACCACAAAACATCCCTAATAGGGCTTCATACCCCAGATTTTGGTGTCAGGCCAAGTCCCAGCTCTCCCAGCCTCCAAATTCCTAGCCTCTCCAGTAGCCCCATGGGCTGGATGACATAGCTCTGTGGGTCATATTTTCGATACCCCTGCTTTAAAGGATTTCTGTTTATACTTATTGCTAGAAAACCTGAGTTTCCTTCCTCCAAACCTTCCTCCTTGTTGCTATTATCCCTTGTACTATGTGTAACCTTAAGTTATAAGCTCTGAAGCAGCAGCTGCATATTTTATTAGTTCCATAAATGCCATCCACCCTTGTGGCAGCTTGAGTATAATGATGTTTCCATGGAGTTTGAGCCGAATCCTGCAATATTCCTTATTGAATCACTGCTGCACTCAGAGATTCTGCACAGATTGCAAAAATGGAACATTTACTAGCAACATCTTCATCATATTTTAGAAATGGAAAATATAGGGTCCACACCTGAAAACAGATGCCAGGGACATCAGCTGGACTCTGGCAGACAGAGGTTTCTTGCATGCAAAGTGGTCAGGAGGGAAGCAGGCTGTGTGATCGTTTCCAGGAATGACAAGCTCCTTTGTCGACTTTCCCAAGTACAAGAGCTAAGCTCCTGCATTACAAGTCTGGCTGATTTCTGCTGGCAGAGGTTTTCCCTTAGTTTTGACCCACTTAAAAAGCAATGGAAATATCTCTTTGTGTCAAAACTTGTCCTAGGAACAGCCAAGCTTGGGGTAGAAGTTCAGAC